ACGAGAGACTCGAGTCTCTCAATTTTTCAGTTTTATTCATTCAGTCTCTCTGTGAGAGACTCGAATCTCTGAATTAACAATTTTATCGTTCGAGTCTCTCATACAGAGACTGTGAGAGATCCATAAAAACACCTAGGCAATAACTGAGAGACTGTGAGAGACGCTCTCAGAGACGCTGAAAGACTGAAAGACTCTGAGAGTCTGGAGAGAGACTGAAAATTTTTGCCTAGGGATGTTTCATACTTGCCATTAAATTCTTAAAATGCTTTAATAATTAATTTATGTCATTTGACTGTAGTTTAGCAAGAAAACGGTCATTTAATTAGCGAGACCGCCTATGTATTTCATAGCGATTTTGTTATATGGTCTGTCAGACCGATTAAATACAATTGTAAAGCGCAATATGCAAGTGCGACAAATGAATAATTGGATCATTAATCTCAGTGTTCTTAGCGCTAACTGAATGTTGAAGTTATTTAATAATTTCAATTTATCATTCTGCTAGCAAATCAATATTGTGGAAAATCAAGTTAGCTACGAACTAGTGCATCACGTTTATGCAAAGTTGTCCGCCACGTTTTGTTACTAAATTTAATTGGCGTTCCAAAGTCGTTATCATAATGGTCCCAGTTGACCACGATAAAGTTAATTATGGGTTGTGAACCATTGCAGTCGAATTGTTTCGTTTTTTATTTTTCTGAATATCCAAAAGCTTTTTTCTTCTCAGAACATCATTTTTAAACATAGTAATTGAATTTAGTTTTTGTTTTGTTGAGTAATTTACGGATTCGTTTAACTTGACGTGAACATATCGATGAAAGAGAGCACGATGAACCCTTCCTGAACTTCCGGTTACTTCAAATAAGCCTTCCGTCGGTTATTACGACGAAAATTGACGTTTTAATAGCATGCGTTGTGGCGAGTTACCACGTAATACGAGAATGCAATCGTCTGCTGGACCGTCACACACTAAATCGATTTCGATCACACCCCATTAACCGCATCAAATAGAACAGATGCAACCGGACGCCACAGATCCCGTATAGAGGGTTAAAAGTCGACACTGATGAATGCCTACCCCTCTTTTTATCTCATCTATGCCTTATACAACATACCTAAGAATTCATATCACCAGCTATGATTAAAAATTCGCAAGATTTATTTATTTTTTTAGTAGTAAAGATAGTGGGATCGCCGCAGCTCTGTCAGGAACGTGTGCGGTTAGTATCCTAACTGTCACGGGTTCAAAGCCCAGACTAGGCGAAAAAAACTAAAAGACACATCAGAACCTGACGCCTTGCTACTTCAAAGTTGATATAAACATATGAATTAAACACAATAGAATGTAGGATAAACGGGAACCTATATATATAAATAAGCAAAGGGGCCATTTCTGAATTAAATTTTAACAGTAAAGCAAACTTCACACGTGAAATGAATCCAAGTCATGATAAAATGTACAAAATCCCTTAAAAGAGAAAAGAATGTAATAAAAAATAATGACTGACAGATTGGAATGATCATAAAACAAGAGTGAACATCTTTGTCCTAGTTACGTCAGGGTGTAATTTGGTAGCAGAGCCGTGGAAATTTGTTGAAAAACGTCTGCTGCAATAGAAATGGGAAGTTAGACGTCTCTTGAACCTAGACGAGGATTGAACTTCGTTGCTCGTAAAGATTTTTCCTGATGTAGTTAACTTTCATTCATTAAGACGTAAGAAGCGGGACATCGTGTCGCTTGAAAATGAGAACAAAAACCCACTGAATTTTTTTGTTCTGTTAAGACAAAACCGTGACATCAAACAACTTATTTCTTCGGCACGATTGTCTTCGAAAGCTTTCGAATAAATTGGGACGATGGAGAATAAATTGGCCCTCGTTTTATAATTCAAATGTCACCAATTCGATGCCATAAGTTACAGAGCCCAAATACGTCACTATTTCGCACCCTTGAAGTTAGAATTTACATTGATAGAATGTTTGCTATATCGGCTTGCTTTTCTAACAAAGAACTTATAAAGGATACACGGCAATACCTCTTCTATTCTCGTAGTTTTTGTCTTTTGTTTCAAAACATTTGCATACAATTCGCCGTTTCGCATGAATATTTTATGTGTCTTTGCCCCCCTTATTGTTCCCTTTTTGTGTGTTCAATAAAATTCACTCTTTTGTACGTGAAACACAGCCAAATAGAATACAAAAAAATAAGTACATTGAGACAAACCTGTATTTGGCAAACGAGTTCTCCATACGGCCAACATTTTCGTAAAGATGGTACAATTGCGAATGGTATTACAAGTAATCCAATTGCAAGATCATTACTTGCCAACGATGTAAGCAAGTACCTTGGCTAAAAAGACAAACAAATATGTTGATTATCAAAATAAAACCAAGAACAAGGACTCGAATAATCGTGGATTGTTCTTAATCATGAATATTAAGTCTTGATTTTATTATCGAGTCCGTTCACTTAGAGAATAGATCGATGTGTGTGGACTGCCACCAGAGGCTTACGGTTGGCCTATGATTGGAAACATCTGACAGTAAACGCCCGGAAATATTATGGGGACCAACTTATAACTGATATTTGTTTGTGCGCATTGTCCACGCTGTACCTTTCTCTAAGTGAACGGAAAATACTACAATTAGCAGTAAATATCGATTTGCTTGTACTTTTACAGTACAACGACCAAGACCATGATATTTAGTACTTATTACTTTTATTCAATTTGTGAGATATCCACCCCGAAAAGTTAATTTCATATTTTACTTAGCCATTATCTTTTCCATTGATACTTACCTGCGAGTGAATATATTTGGAGTACCTTCTACTATTAATGACTAGTATAAGCAGAATATTGGCTACAAGGACAATAAGGGTTAAAAGCAAGACGATCGTCGCTTGTAGTACATCCCCCGCGGTGACTCCAGCGAATAGACTCGTGCTATAACGGGGATGAGTACAGCTGCTGTTTTGTAGCGAAGGTGCCGTTAATATTGTAACTTTTGAATTCATCTTAGAGCACTTTTCACAAGTCATTTGGTACTTTTTAAAACTTTATGCAACTGCTACCTTAAGATAAGGCTGTCGTACAAGAACATGAACGATAGTACGAGATGGAAGCTGTCTTTCATCAAGGAAGCCATGTCTTCATTTTTCTATCATTTTTCTCGTCTAGTGTGGCAGTTTTGTGTCACCTGGAAACAAAAAAATCATATCTGTAGAGGCCAGTGGATACTGTGAGAGTTAGTGGTAGATTTAGATTTATCTTTTGACAATGGAGATTAAGCGGGGTAATTTTAAAACAAACATTGAAACAGAAACAAATGAGCCATCACCAGGACAGAAGAATTTTCACATTTATATCTGTCCCATACGTTACAAATTGTCATTAATCATAAAAACGAGCGTTATCCCCGTGAAGGGCTGGGCGTTGAAGCAATTGTTTCGAAACCATGGTTTTAAACCAAATATGATGCAGCTTTAGGGAGAGTGGGGTAACTGAGAACTGCAGAAACTGATGCAATATTCATAAATTGCTATTAGAAATGTTTATTGGATCCAATTTTCATCACAAAATTCAACATCAACACGTACTAAATCAGTTGTGTCTCCCTTTACACCATTAATTGTTCCAATTGTTCCTTTCTCTCTCTAGAAAAATAAGTTGAAATTTGCGTTGGTGGAAATTGGATTGCGATATAGATAACCGCCCTTTCCCTGTCGCCTTTACTATGCAGATTTCAGTAAACGTAATTAATATGAATTCGTTTCTTAAACGTGGAACATATAGTGTGACTTGGGGGTAGTAGGTGTGCGTTCAAAAGTTTAGAGACAGCCGATAATTTATCATCGAAAATGTCACCGTCACGGCTTGCAAACTGTTTATGAGGGTGTGATACAAAAAAGATTTATGTACAAACGATTTTGCCATCGGTTAGACGCTAAACGATATTAACTGTTTTTGCACATTAGTATCAAGAAGGTATGATACACATCGCAAAGATATCGACATCAATTAAGGGATGTTTTGTTTGATATGGAATGGAACAATGGAAATGTTATAACAGAAGAAGAAACGGAAACAAGTGTCAATAATAAACTTTTGCGTAAGGGGAAGATCATGTAAATACAATACTATAAAAAAAAAGAAATCATGTAGAAGCAGATATAAAAAGAGTACGCAGAACTTCCGCAGCTGCGGAAGCGTAAGTGAATGCCTGTTGTTAAGGTAATTCCAGTGCCTGTCTTGATCAAGAACAGAAGCGATTTCAAATTAGTATGTACCTACAAGGATAATATGAAGGAGGGTATCACCTTACGACGCCATTGTAAATATTTAAAACTACCCTCCTGGAGATTCTACTTTATCAAGTCGTTATTGTTGGTTTATTATTTTTGGGGATGCTCCAGTCTTTATTAAGTAAATGCCGCGCACAAAAATTAATTACTTTACCCGCTTCTCTAATGAACGTGCAAGTAATACCGACGATACCTTCTAAACATCTAAATTAAGTTTGAAATAATAACTCGAGGGAATATTTTCCTCGTGAAGCTACATCTTTTCATAATATCACATGCTTGATAACGGAACTGTACCATTAAAGAATTTTGAATGCAGTTGGAAGAAGTGACTGTCTCCAAAACTAACAATTACACTAATGCATTCGATCAAGGTTTAACTTTGACTAGCCTATAAATTTCAATGAATCTACCGATGTGATGTGATAAAATTTAAAGAATTAATAACGAAACTACGAAAGAAATAATTTATTAAAACATTACGAACAGGAACATTGTTATTATAATTTGTTTACAGTAAAAGTTCCTTATTCACGGTTTCTTTATTCGCCTTTATAATTATTTGGCGGTTGAAAAAATTGTAACCCAGTTCTTGTATTCGCGGTTAAAACTTTCATTATTCGCGGATGCAATCGGTAAACAGAAAAGGATTCGGTGTCATTTATTAAGGGGATTGACCGCAGTAGACCGCTCGTACCTAGGGTGAATTTTTCCAAAAATATGGGTTTCTATTCTAAACATTGTGATTTAACGTTGCGAGATAAATATTTGATGTCTTGTATGGTAACAGACAAGGGTTCACACTAACTCGATACGTTTTTGGTTTTCAATAATATGGTCATTAAAAGCTTTTACAAGTGCTTAAAGTTGATGCTTCTTGTAGGACACATATTTTTAATAGAAATTAAAAAATTAAGAAATGGCCTTCGACAAACTTTAGAACAAAACTTTATCTATCTTACTACAAAAAGTCAAACCTCTGTTCCATACATTAAACTCATGATATCTAGAACCGATAAGCATGTTTTTACTCTACGACGCATGTACTACTGAATCCCCTTAATGTATCCGCATCTTTTGATCTTTCATCAGACAGCTTTTATAAAAGATGTAACCGAGTGGAGTAATTCAAAATTCAAAACAGAAAAAATCACTAAATTTTTTAAACCCTTGTCTAAAGCTAATTATAACGATTATTTTTAATTGCGAATTTCTCAAGAAATTGATTTTATTCTGATACATATTGGTTTTATTTCGGAACCTTAGAACGTATCTCCTATGATTCCATACTAATTACCATTCTATATCGCGGCATATTTATGGAACGTATACCCCGCGTATAAAGAGCTTTTACTGTATATGTATTGATATTCTTTATGGACAAAAGTTTAAAAAAAAAAGTGAATAAAACCAAAAATATAAACGCAATAACCTACGAATATACGTAAAATGTATGACGATGTGAACTTCTAGAAACACTTGTGGAAATAGGGGATTCACCCTTGATAATTCGTTTAAGCGAAAGGTGCAAATGTGCTAGAGAAAGAAAGAGGTCGATCTTTCGAACGGAAATCAATCCATTAGGCTTAAATTCTCGGAGGAATTTTCAAGTACACTTAAACACTCTCTTCATATCCTTGTATGCGACCGTTTTTGCGAGAAATAAAAAATTTATTTGTAAACTCACAATTTCCGTACGTTTTTTTTTTTTTATTACAAATTAAAGCTCTAAATGCGAACAATTTTTATAAGCACATACATAAGAATTAAAACGTTTATGTAAATAATCTTCGGTACATTTATATTTTATTTTAGTATCTGGTCGTACTGTTTCAATTTTATTTTATTTTATTTCAATCAATCAGTTTAATTCAATTCGGTTCAATATAATTGAGATTGTTTTAAAGATAATCAATACCAATAAAGGAAGATTCAAATGCCAGATCTTCAACTACAATCTGTAAATTTTGTTTTTAGGTTAATTAATGACAAATAGATAAGTTAAGAACCTATTTGAAAAGTTTTAATACACATTTGGTTTTGTGTTAAACGTTTCCCTATTGGATTTTCTTTCTCTTTTGACCCACATATAACCAAGATGTCTCTAATAAAAGTCGGACTGTAAAATGCGGCTAATCCTTGAAAGTCCTAGCTTAGTTCCAATCCTTTTCTGTTAAATTACTGGTGTGATTATAGGTTGGGGTCTCGCCAATTCTGAACAGAATTCTCCATTAGTTATGTATCATTCTTCACTGGCAGTGGAGTGACCCGGATTTTGAAACTCATCTAAACCCCCAACAGAATCGAAAAGAATTAAATATTTCGTTTTGTAATAAGATAAGAAATATATAACCTTCAATTAACGTTTATAACTAAATTATTACTTTCAGACTAGCATAAAATCTGTAAATTTTTGAAAGGTTCAAAATATAAAGTAATTACGAAGAAATTTTAGTTTTACACCCTAAAGTATACTTCATTTACTTTCTCTAGCAAAGTGCCCCTTCCAATGTCTTGGATGCGCGCCGGCAAAATCGTAGATAGGGAGAAGAAGCTCATTATACTCTCGACTCTTGTTCATTAAACATACTTTTTCATACAGTACCTGCCAAAAGTTTTGTTCAATCATGAATAGTAGTGCGAGTCGAAAACAAGCGTTAAAGCCTTTAATATGTCTTCAAATATAAATAAACATCTCGTTGATATTTTCAGTAGTAAATGCTACCAATAACAGCGCATTTGAGCAATGCAATTGTAGTAGATAAAATAGTCAATTTTTCCGTGCCGTACTGTACGGATTATACGCTCCTCACCGGTTAAGAGTTTGGCCGAGAGTTGTCTCCTTCCTTTTCTGGCCTAGTGCTGTTCTTTTCTACTTTGCGCCGGTCAAACTGAAGGTCACATCGCTACAGAAAGTAAACGAAGTATATTGCATTTGGGATTCCCATAATCATATATATTAGTTAACAAGTAACACATATTGATTGATATCCACAATTAGTAAATAATTTACCGTCTTTTAAATGTTTTTGAATGCTTCATAATTTACTTTTCAATATTTTTCACGTATTCTAATCCTTGAACGAAGAGGTTTATTCTTTTTCGGTGGGTTGCTAAATACGTATATATTTTGCCTTCAGCCCAAAATGTTTCTTAACTTATAAGAGCATAATGAGAAGATTACTGAATGGTAGAGAAGCAAGTACAATAAAGCTGGCACATTTTCGTGTTTTTCTTCATTCATTTTGTCTACGTAAATGGGGTTGTAAATACAACCAATAGAAACGGAGTGTATCAGTAGCGCATCTCGTTAAAAATTAAACCCGTTCCCCTTCGGTACTTCATTATTTTTGCCTGCTTGCTCACTAGTCATAGCCGCCCCATTCATGTGCAAAATTCCATAAATATTAATTGCTGCTCTCACTTTTGAAACGTCTTGCTAGTTGACACTTGCAACATACATTTTTACACGAACCCGGGTAAGTCGCAATAATAATACAACTCATAATTGTACAATTTGTTTTCCTTATTAAAATTTGCACCTATTTTTTAATCATTTTTCTCTGTTTTTCGTCACTTTTCTACTAATTAAAATTTTCATTAATCCATGCTAAACCTTCATAATCACACAGATCCAATCATTGTTACCAATACGACCTGTATTTTCTAATAATCCCGGGTTCACCTGTCCTCAAGGAAAACCATGTTTTTCT